TCATGAATCTGGACTTTAGAAAAACGCATAGTGACAAGCATCACGGCTGTTCTGCTATTTCTGTTCTATTCTAAAAGGCGCAATAGGCTTGCTGATGGCCACCCCCGCATTTCAACGTCTAGACAACAAGTGCACATCACGCCAAAGCGTAATAAATAATTGACACAGACGACGCTCTTCTAACGTAACATCACAAACCCACGTACAATTGAAACCACATACTGTTCGGCATATTTCAGGAAAATAGACATTGCTTTCGTATTGCATCAGCGTATGGGCCACTAAAGGTAGCAAACCTAGTAGGTGGGAGTGTGGTGGCGGACAGCCCCTACGCCTGCCTACGCTGCCTTCAGACTGCCTCACGCTCCCTGTCAAGAGATGGCCTGAGCCGTGATGGACTTGGCATCAGCGTGGGGAAAGATTGAGGCTAAGCAAAGTCACATCCTTTACTGATTGGATGTTGGGAATCACCGAGTTTTCGGCCACCGTACCTCGACTGCTTAGGCTGCGTGGATATGATCACAGGCACACCTGATCACACCTCTTGAGTGCGGTTTATCTGCATGCCGTGTACGTCTTCTGTGGACGAACTTAGAACGAAATGACAATCCAGCATCTGATATTCGCAGTTTAGTTCCAATCGAACCTTCTCAGCAGCTGCATCCTAGCACATGCGGCACCTCAGCTCCTCCTGTCTGTTTGCCTTGTTGTGCAGTCTGCTGCCATAAGTGTTGTATGTAACATTCCATTTCCTTTGATTTTGATAACCGGCTTGTATTTTATAACTTATTGTGCATTATGGATTATACACCCATGTGGACAATATCCACAACGCGTCCCGTGGCACATGAAATCAACTGCCTTAGTAACCTTCCCAGCAGCAGGGGTTCGCATATCATTCTCTACTAATCTTATTTGACACGGGGAAGGAAAGGATAGGCTGCCAGATCAGACCAACTCAGTGTGTATCTATTCATTCACTTGCTCCTGTGCAGCAGGTTATATTGGTCGTACGAGTCGGCGCCTTCCCAAAAGAATACGAGAGCACTTTCCCGCATGGCTGGCAAAAGGGGAAACTAGGAAAATAGACAGCGTCATCTTTGCGTATGCAGTGGATTCAGGACATGGTGTGGATCCCGCTGAAGCATTTCATGCGATTTGTAAGGTTCCCTCGAGTTGCCCTACGCTACTGAGCCAGCGTCTGTTAGCAGCAACAGCAGCAGCAGCAGCAGCAGAAGCGGCGGTCATCAGGTTACGAAAACCGACCCTATCGGCCAGAAGAACCTAGTTCAGGCTCGGCGCTTACGGTGGTCAAAGCTTGACTAACCGCATATAACTTTCTGCGCCCTTCCGCTCTTGCCTAGCCTGTAGTTTAAAAACCAACTTTTATCGATTTTTTCACTCACTGTACCCCGTCCCATATAACTGTAATGGCCTGACGAGAAGTTATCGAAAGCAATGTTCACTCGCCACCTTTTTTCTGAAATCGACTTTGCAAAATGATGAAATCCTCGATCCTAACTAAATGTTCAGGTGTCGTCATGTCTTTGTAGGCATTAGTGCTGCACAGTCTTTCAGTCGAGCGGCCATTCTGATTTGTGTTTTGGAGCTTTCTCAGCCTCTTTTTATTCCGGAATACTCCTCCGGACTCTTTTCAACAGATGTTCATTCGATTCGTTCTTTCGTTTTCTGAGAGAATGTTCAGTTCAGTTTATTGAGGGAAATAAGCATGTGCCTTTGAGTAAATTGTGTGGGTTGTGCAGAGGAACCATTTGGGGTAGGGTCGAATTTTCAACGCTGTGGTCCAGTTCAGAAAACAAATTGTCAACGATCCCTTCTAAAGCTGTTGGTCAATTGCGATATCAGGAAATCTACTTATAAGGTTTTCCGTAGGCTGACCGCCAAGAGAGAGAAAAAGAACCTCAGCATATTCATCCTTGTCTGCCAGAAGTGATGTTTTAATGGCAATTTAGGATGTTGGTCAGGGTAGCAAATTCAAAATGTAACCAAAGGCTAGGCTGAAAGATGTCATCGCGCATCTGCCTTTGACTCAAAGGAAAGATATTAACTTGGCTAGGCGTGTTGAGCAAGTCAGGTATCTCCGAAATCAGACCACTTTGTCAACCTTTCTTTGGACACTTTTAAGAATATTTTGAGCATAGACAACCCACGGTCTCCAGGCTTGTATGAAATATTTCAAATGCGCTCTCATACGTTTTCTGCAAACCATGAAGAGTTGGTCTTTACTAAAATTTCTTAAGGCCCTCAAAATCATCTATAACACGGAAAGCGCGTTTTTATCACCCTAGACAGGACAGTTTAGAGGTGTTCCTTATCAATGGTAGGGGGCGCTCACCGATCATTCTTACGGAACTCACTGGTTCCGTTGTACCTTATGTGCTCTTTCTCGAGTCCAGCCAGCGGCGCATTGTGGCAGTTCGCATCTCCTCACCCTCCGCCTTTGCCACGCTGCCTTCCTGTCCGCCCCACACTCCATGTCGATACGCTTCTGGGACACCCGATGCTTGTAACTAACCTCGCGAGTTCTCGAAGCCAATCAACGCTGTCCCCACTCCGATTGGCTGGCGGACGTGGAGAAACGAAAGGCACACACGCACTGGGACAGCACCTCGAAGGCGGACACAGACAAAAGCTAGCTTGGAGCGCGCTCGCGGCGACTGCCTACAAAGCCCTTGTGTACGCACCTCCTCAGGCAGTAAAGGTTGTCCAACTCAAACCGTCTTCCCTGACTTTTGATTGGGACTCTTTATCTTGTTGACCACATCACTTTCGACAGCATGATATAGACAGAATGGCATTGCCGACATTGTCTTTGTCGGCAATGCCATTCTGCCTAGTTCATTATCGGCACAAAGAGATACTGTAGGGTTTCCACGCTTTGCAAAGCCCCACTGTCGAAAAAGTAGTTTCTAATACTGGCGGGTCTGGTTGATTAGCCTAAGCGAACTGTGGTCCACTTATCGACGTTAGATTGCAGAAGTCAACGAGTCGGCCACTCCTCCAGCCTACCCAAATCAATCTGTGGTCTATCTTAGTCGGCAGATCTCGCTATTAATGCCTCAAACATTCATGTTGTTAGCAGACACTGGCTCTTTAAAATCCAAGCACTTTGCGCGACCGTCCACTTGTGTGAGAAACAGAATGAATACCATTACTGAACCCTGGGGAATAACACTCGCCGCCCTAGAAGGATTTAACTTCTCCTGACCGATGCAAAAAATATGACGTTGATGCGTAAAGAAGCTTTTAATCTATCTGCGGCAGTTATCTTTGATCCTTGTTCTTACCACTTCGTACAACATTCTCTGGTGAAGCACAGCGTCGAAGGTCAATCGAGTCAAAGAAGTCAATGGAGATAGCGTGTGGCAGTTCGCGTCACCTTGCCCTCCGCCTTTGATACGTTGCCCTCCTGTACGCCTCACTCCATGTCGATACGCTGTTGGGACACGCGAGGCTTGTCACTAGCCTCGCGAGTGCTCCAAGCCAATCAACACTGTCCTCCCCCCGATTGACTGGCGGACGCTGAGACAATGAAAGGCGCACACACGCGCTGGGTCTGAGCACCTTGAAGGTAGACACAGACAACAAAACTTGTTTGCAGCGCGCGCTCGCGGCAACTGCTTACAGAGTTTTTGTACGCACTTCCAGCAGTAGAGGTTGTCCAATCCAAATCATCTTACATGACTTCTGATCTAGGATTCTCTGTCTTGTTGAACACACCACATCTGACAAACGTACTTACCGTGGAGTGTTCGAGGCCAACTCTGGGGAGATGGCAGAAAATTTGTCGTACACGATCTTCCCTGCTGTGAACGTACCCCCAAGTGTGCTCAATGAAACAAGCTGATGGCCTTTGGGAATTACATTATTTCCCACATAACGTTCAACACCAAAACTTTGCCAAATGTGAGCAACAAGTTTAAGAGCTTTTAGTTTGTCATTGGCGCCCGGAAACAGTTTTTGCATGGACGAGTTGTGCGCGCCAGCATCCAATTGGCAGGAAATGCCACAGTGTCAAATGGACTTCGAAGGAGCATTGACAGAGATGCAGAGTGTTCACTTTCAAGCTCTTTGAGAAGCCTGATCAAGGAGACTTCGATTCAGTCGGCGTGCACTCTAGGGAAGGAAGAGAAAACCTTGCTTCGTCTGTGTAGACGGACAGGAAAAACTGCGAAAAAACTTAGCCTTATTTATGCCTTCAGAAATTTAAATACGCTTTGACGTATTTTAGTTGGACTTCGTGCCCACCCCATGAATTCTAGACTAAGATGGAACTTTTTGTTGTTTTGTAACAAATGATCCAGAATTCAGTACGCGTTTTGGTGGTCATACTTCTCAGTTTACCTAGATGCACGTTTTTTCCCCATTTTTGCCCCTTGTTCATTTCATTTATTAGATTTCTCTTTGTGTATGTTAGGCTTCCCAGTTGTTGCCTAGATCATTGTCAGTTTTACATGCACATTTTTTTCCATGATATGTTTTACTTTAATTGCAATGTTTTTTTGCCATTTCTGTTCATTTGTTAATCTCATCAATCCCCAGCGTAATTGTTCGCTGCTCTTCGTGCAGCTCCGTCTACAAATAAAGTAACACATTTATGTGCATTAATCTAGTATGCACATCGAACTTGACACATTCGCGAAATATTGTAGTAGAACATCTTTTTACTGAGGAGCCTGTGACATCGTACCTGAGATTTAGATTGGCAAAATGCGCTGACCGCCGGGATTGTCATGGTATCAGCCGGTTATTTAAATTTCGACCACATTATGCGCGATATCTACCGGCCTAAATGTGATAGTAGTGATCCTGATTACTTTTATCCCATAGCCATTATTTTAATCCTCAAAAAGTCCATTAGAAGACTGTCTGCCAATACAAAGGGGCGATTTATTTCTGATCATTATAAAATTCCTTCGTACTCGCAGTGGTAACTCACACATTTGACCTGTGAAAACTTCTATGAGCAGAACGAAACGATGCAAGAACTCAATCCCGAGAACTTTGCCGGTAACGCTAGTAGCATTTGGAAGATGCTTGATGAACTGGCTGAGTCTGATCCAAAGGGATACGAAAAATTTATCAAAGAACAAATGGAAGTTGGCAAAGGTCTGACAAGTCGTCCAAAGTGCCGATGTGTCTACAAATATACTCTCAAGGTACACTTATTTTAAGCTTATTACTTTTAAAGGATGGAGGAAACATTTTCGTAAACATGTGCGAATGGGAATATATGAACATGCCGAAGTCAGAAACAGATGCCATTCCCATGTTTTGCGGGGACACGTACCTCGTTGAAAACGGTGCGTACTTTAGCTCTGTCCTACAGGGGGTTAAGATCCTTTGTTTTTTTCTTATGAGGTGCGGTCTACAATTCACGTTGTTGTTTCCCTTATGAGAATTGGCCATATTTTGTACTATGGCCGCGTAGAGGTAAAATTCTTTATCTTTACGAGACCGCAGTCGGAATTCCGGACGTTCGCACTAATGCTTGAGCAAAAACTTACTATTTCCAAAGTGCATGCGGGGCCCTCTTTCATTCCATAGACGGACGATGGTCGTTTGGAATTTCAAATGACGAGTATCTCTAGCATTCATACCATCTTGAGTAAAACTCGAGTCCTCCGCTATCTAAGCACTAGCAGGTACCATTTTTGCAGCAACTTTGTTTTCGCTAGCGTCCAACATATTTATATTTCATATCGGATCGACATAAAGTAACTTGTCTGTAAAGAGGTAAATTCAAATTATGCGACTATGTCGACCACCGATTCGATTGTCTCCTGCTCATTTCGATCCTAGATAAGACAAGTTATAGAGCAGAAATGAAATACCTGTACAAACTGTTCTCCCAAAATGGGTACCCGCATGACTTTATACGTCAATGCATGAGGCACCAGCAACTCAAGGAAAAAGGTATTTCCAATGCTGCGGACGCTCAGGCGCCAAAACTAACCACATGGCGAACTCTCCCATACGTCAAGAATGTATCTGAATTAGTCGAAAGACAATTGAAAAAGTACCAGATACACGTAGCACACCAGCCGACAACTACCTTACGCACACAGCTTGTACACCCTAAGGACAGGGTTGGCTATCTGGAAAGAAAAGGTGTTGTCTATAAAATCCCATGTTCTAGTTGTGATGCCGTTTATTGTGGCCAAACTGGGAAATCTGTCTCAACCCGTCTACATGAGCATCAGTTAGCGGTGAAGAGACGCGACCATCTATCCCAGGTGGCCATGCACACACTGGACACTGGGCATAAATTCGCATGGGAAAACACTCGCATTGTTGGCGCCTGCCAAACAAGGAAAGGCCGCGAATTCCTGGAGGCAATGCACTCAGATGAGGCATGCATCAACCGGCATATTGACTTAGATGCCACATACAAAATCGTTAAGGACAGATTCAAACTGAGTCAACCAATCCCGAGATGACGACCTTAACCAATCATGGAATCCTTTTGCCAGACTCAGTCTAGAAGTTAATTGTTTCTGCACGCCCGTTGTCTGAAGACGAGCTGGGGAACCAGTCTCGAAAATTCACAATAAAAAATTTTGCCGTTTCCCAAAGAACTTCACCTTTCTTATAAGACAATATGTATGACGTTCTAACAACGATCTTAACAAACTTTTGAACTACTTGGAAATGCCAGTGGACTGATATGTGTGATTTCTTCAGTGCACAATGAATTAAGAATCCATACAAACCTCGACCACATATAGTCAAACATGACGATTATCGGCTGATTATACCGCTGTCTATATTCCTCCCTATCTCTGTGTGTTTCTTTATCTCCTCTTTGTGTTTCATGTCATGTAGTTTTCGTATCGCTCGGAATTTATATGATTTTAAGACGTCCTTTCGCGTTCTGTACCGCACTTACCCGTAATAATATTGTATTGGGTGGGCGGTATTTCAACAGATCTGTTCGAATATTACCATCATGTTTATCGTCGAACGCACAGGCGACACTGCTTTGTTAGTCAAGTTCAGACTGATATGATTTGAGTCTCATTATTAAAAAAAACGATATGATGTCTTGTCAACCTTTGAAAACACTGTCCTGCGTTCTTCTCGGTGCTTGATATTCATGGTTTTGTTTTTATTTTCGATAATTTTATCGAGTAGCACCGGAACCAAGCAAATTGTATGATCATGTGATGATAGGAGGGGCCAGTGATCACTTATGTAGGTATTCCATGGACCCTGTTGCGACGCAGTGTCTGCATGACTCCAGTTAAGAAAAAATAGGATTTCAGCTTCTACACCTCCACAGATCTCATCTTGCTTGGTCTGTAGGTGAAACATTACTCTTTTTAGCATAACTGTGCTCCCTTACTTCGTCAGAGAATATCCCTTGTAAACGTAGTTTCATGCAATTGATGTGTTTGGGCCACATACGCTTTTGCTATTTGTACTGATAAGCAATTCTGTGCTTACGATACACTCCCTACATCTTGCATACACAAGGGGCTTTTTATTTCATGCTTGCAGTTCTGTGAGCTCATTTTTGAGGTGAGTAAGTATAGTTTGCAAGCGGAATACATTACGATAAATGGAAGCCAGAGCACTCTTAAGTGGCTCTATCGTCTTCGATTTTGTTTTGTATCGCACCGCGACTTGCGTTCACAACGTCCAACAATGCCTCAAAACACTTGATAACTTCCATACTTATGCCTGATTCTGGGGCCGAGCCCCGAAAGTGATTTTCAAAACATAGACTGTTTATTGCAACTGAGGAATAAGACCCACTCTTCGGCAGCTTTTTTTGCTGCATGGAGTGCAGTGCCCGCAGCCGCGCATCCGAGCGTTTACGACGCCGGTAATTCTGTCTATTTTGTGTCCACGTGGGCTCATCCGCACTCCAGCTAGCATTTCTTTGGCTTGTCAGCACACTGGTCCACGTATTTGAGGAAACCGCTTGCATGCAAATATTTATCCTTTCCTGACTCAATGTGAGTTCTTCTGGGCCAGCTAGTGGCCGTAACTTATGGGGCATACTTCATGCACAAAATAAACACGCCTTTCCCCCCACACCTTACCTCCAGGACTGGAAAAAGAATTCCTAAGGCATGGGGGGTGCTTAATCGCGCGCAAGACCGTCGTGGTATCTTACAACCCCATTAAGATTAACTTTTCGCGCCTATTTTAGTGTCTACAGTGTGTGTGGCCCTTCACCCCGTTGTCTACCGACAGCACGGATTTCCGCTTCAAGATGATTCTGCGATTCCCTCCAAGCGAATCGGCCCTAAAGCTGACGAGTTGATGGCTCTCTGCCTGACCTTTCTTGAAAAAGAAAAAGCTATCTGCACTAGGGAGTACGCGGACTTCGCCCGAACTGGCAACCTTCCCAAGTTGCGACCGGAGTGGTCCACGGAACCACATGGTGGCGTGGAGAGCATGTTCAAGTCGCTGCACTACAGGAACCTCAACTTTGCCGCACTGGCGCAGGAAGCCCTTTCGAGTTCCGGTCTGATGGCTGGCAAAAAAGCGGCTGGCGATATGCAGCAGACAGCGTTTGAACCCAAGATCTCCCTGACGGCTGACAAACCGAAAGAAACGCAGTCAAAGGGCAGACCTCTAATAGAGGAAGTTGTCCACAAACCTCCACCGCCCTCCTGGAAGTTGGTAAAAAGTCCTGAGAACCCAACTCTCAAATACTCAATCAGTCTTCCTGCGAATGTGACCCTCAAGGATTGCGAATTGGACATATCCTCGGTAAGGTCCCATATTTCACAGAAATCGGCAGCTAAGGAACGATTTAAGGGGTTCTGATTCCATATTTCACTCAAATTGACATAAAATAGATACCAAGCACTCAGATTGCGGTGACAAAAGTTTGTTTAGAGGTCGGTTCGTATTGTAGTAGGTGCGGAGTTCTAGATTAGTCGCACTTAAACGCAGTCGGTGTTGGGAGTCTAAACACACACCCGGAATTAGGCAACCTGCGAAGTGAATCTGCAGCAACTTTACAAATATGGGCATTTAGGCAAGCGTTGAAAAAAAAATAGATGATTTCGGACAAGTTTTGTTTTTGAGCAACTGAGGGAAGTGGTAGCATATTTTTTTCCAAATTTTTCTTCAGACCAACCAACAAAGTTGTGTGTAGCTTCGTTATATGTGCCCTCTAAATGGACCACGGTTGCTGACCACAGTTCAGGGTTTGTTAAATCACTTTTGTAATTCCCTGAAGGTTTTACTAAAATGTTTGTCGTCCCTGTATCTAAAGTTACTTTGGCCTACCACGCGATCTTTTCATCCGACTGACGGATTCTGGGAGATTTTCCAAAAATTCCCCGTCTTTCACCTGCCAAGTTTTTTGGTGACCAATGCCCGGTAATCCAGGTGTTGAGGTTGGCACATACTCCTGGGCAGAGCATTTTCTAACGAATCAGATTCCAAACTGGGGTTGACTATATCTTTCAAGACCCACTGTCTTCACCAAAATCAACAGAAACCGTCCGAAGTGTCTGTCGCGTGTTGTGGTCGGATGCTTGCCCACAATGTTTTATTTTAAATTCTGAGAGTAAGAACTTCAGTGGCGGAGAGAAGTCTTTCCTGATCTCGGGTAAGTGTTGCGGCCAAATCCTCTGAGGCCTGCGTAGGCTGCCTCTCATCAGAAGACTGCTAGTTGAAGGGGGAGCGGGGTATCATGGGATTTCATTTGCGGCGTTGGGGTTGGTTCGTGCGTCTACAGGTAGGCCTTAAGCCTTTAAAACTGTCCAAACTGTAGGTCCCAGCATCGAACTATACATTAGTGACTGCCGCTTCTGGACTCTCGATCCTGAATAAAACCATGCTATTGTTTCTAGTGGCTCCTCCATATTACCTGCCTAACATTCGCACACTCATTCAGCATGAAGGTGTTGGGCGCTCCTCTGGAAAGGTCCAATAAGTCCTTTTCAACGTAACTCTGACAGACAAAATGATCATCCCAATGCTTCTAGAGTTGATTTTAATAGTCTGGCTTTGTTCTTATCCACTGCCGCACATCTGTTCCTGTTAGTTTTCTTGTCATTTCCAAAAATGTAGGACGTCAAATCCGTGCCTTTATGCAGTATTTTCGAGCATGTTCTTATGTAGTTAATTGCTTTTCAACTGAATGGTATATCGAATCTCAGGTTATCCAAACCTAGGTTTGAGCATAAGTGGTTGACAACGGATAATAAGCCGAAAATTGTCATCCTAGCCTCCGTTATTTATCACTTTGCGACTGCTCTCGAGGGATCTGGATGTAATCCCAAGGCGCACTGTAGGTTCATGTTCCGTAACAGGATCTTAAGACCTCTTTCAACGCTAGAAAGCGTAGCTTTTATCCATAGGCTTCCGAATCGTCCTGTCAGAGCGTTGTGGGCTGTGAGAATGATATCAAGACTCAGGAGTTAGCGGGCTCACCAGGACCTGAGCACTGTTCAGTCGAAGGTGAAATGAATTCGATCTCCGAGAGCACGCATTTGCTCGGCTGCGTTTTCGTAATTTTTTAAAACTCGTCCCTGGGAATAAATGATAGAGCGAATCAAACCAATGGCATCAAGACCACTTCATCCTAACAGCTGGTTGAAATGCCCTCTGCAGCGTGCAGATTATTAGCCTGGTTTTTTTTAGTTGTTTCAGGGGAAGGACCGTTTGACAGTAGGCTTTTCAATAGTCTCACGAGAGTGAACTTACTTCCAATCCGAGGGCGTTTATAAGCTGATGCCTGTGTGTTCGCCCCTGGAGGGTTCAAACAAAAATACCACCGATGATATGGCATGTTCTGCTGTACGTTAAGGACGTTTCAGTGACGACCGAGCGCATCATCGATGGACTAGGTGTCGGAATTACTCACCTGCCCAGAGCTACCAAGTGCATCAGGGTCATGAAAATCAATGGCTGATTAAATCTCAGGGAGCAGTTTAAAGTAGTATATCGTAGCTCATGTTTAAACTGTCACTGTAATAACACAGGTCGGAATGAACGCACGCTCGGAGTGTGCATACGCGTACGTAAGCTGGTTGGGTGATAAATTATCGTAAGTAACCGTTCACACATTCGAAAAGCGTCATGAATTTAACGTCGCAGTCGTCAAGATAATCGTCCACGCCGAAAGCAAGACAGGCTGAGGACCCAGTCGATCGATATATAGATCTGGCACCGAGACACTGAGTCCTGCTCAGTCATCTCCAGACCTACGCGACTAATCACGGACTGGTTAATGCCTCTTACAAATGTCGTTCGTTATTTTCCTGCTTTCGTCTTTGATGGTGAACTCCTACACGATTTCAAAGACTCGGAATAATAAATAAATTGTTTCAGTGCTTGATCAGACTACTTCCCAATTTGCAGTTTTTCCAGTTAGCGTCGTTGGTTTGAACTGAGGTCTGATTCTGCTCAAAAGAACTGGGAAATTGATAACGTATCATCTAGTCAAAATGACACGTGTGTTGTTTTACTTAGTATCCATTTACCACGACTGAGGAGGTTGCTAACTGAGCATGCGCAAACTGAAAATCTGACACATTCTTTCTCCTCATCAGAAAAAAATCATCAGTATTTTCGGTGTTTTTTTTGCCTTCCACTCCAAGCATGAAGGACAGCCGTACCCTGATAATAGCAATGTGTGGTCTCTTCCTTCCTTTTAGACCATGCTCTCTCTGAAGATCAAAGGAACAGAGGAATTTTCCGGCCCTTATTCGGTGCAATTTCCCGAGCCCGTTCCCCCCTCAAAGGCGAAAGCAAAACTGAATAAGAAGAAAAACATCTTGAACGTGCATATTCCTCTTGAATAAATGTTTTTTACTCTCCATGTTTGTTCCGAAATTCGGCTTGAGCACTGGGAGTCTGCCTTCCATTCATCCCTTGTGCGGTCTGCGGTATTTCCCTAGGCTGTCAGACCAGTAAACAAGTTAGTTCAATATGCTTTCGAAGAAGATTATGGGCTGTTCGTATGAGTATGCGATTATCTGGAGCGTGGAACATAAACCGAGACTCTTACTTGTGCTCGATACGGCTCCGATCACGCCTGATCTAGCGGGCCTCAAAGATGTCTCGCATTGTACCTCTGCACGCGTGACGATCCGCGGCAGCAGATCTGGACAGCTCAATCCATTCTCTTCGCAAACGACGTGATCGAATACTGAGGGTCTAAGAACCACCTCAGTGTCTTGACGAACTGTGTCGAGCCAGGTTTTGAACTGACCCCCACTTCAACGTCTCCAATGGGGTAACGTTGCCGGGTCGAGGACAGTAACACTGAGCTCCTGAGGTGGACGACGAAGAACATCGCCGAACCAATTCAGTCGTCTTTCTTGGATGGCTGGAGTTATCCTTGCGATGTTGTCGCAGCGAGCGCTGACTGTCTCATTTGAGACGAAGTCGGTGAACTTCACTCGAAGGATGGTCCTCAAGCAGTGATGGTCAAATACCTCTAGTTTTCGCTTGTCCTCCACACGCAAAGCCCAGCATTCACAACCGTAGAGAAGGACAAGCCGGACAGATGCACGGTACGCGCGAATCTTAGTGGCAATAGAGAGGTCACGTCGGTTCCATAGACATTTCCAAAGGCTTGAGAAAACCCAGCGGACAGCATCGATTCGGGAGACAATGTCCTCCTTACTCAGTCTGTTAGCCCCGAGGTACTTAAAACTGTCCACTTCTTCAAGTTGACGGCCGTCAATCACGAGGGGTGTCTTCTGGTCAGGGATGTAGCTTGAAAACACTTTGGTCTTCCCAGCGTTTATGGATAAACCGACCGATTTAGCGACCTCGTTCACCCGTGACACCATAGACTGCAGATCACCAAAACTTGAAGCAAGTAAGACGGTATTATCGGCATAGTCGAGATCAGTCAGTCGATGTCCGGGTGCAAACTCAACGTTGTCACTCTCGCGTAGGGCCATCCCGAGGATCCAATAAATAGCATAGTTGAATAGTATGGGTGACAGGATACAACCCTGTCGGAGGCCAAGCCGAATACCGAACGGTTGGGAAAGATTATTGCCGACCAGGACTCTCGCAATAGTGGAGCGATAATAGGCCTTAATCATGGCGATGATTTTTGCCGGTACACCATCTAGCGCCATTATCCGCCACAGGTGAACGGAAAGAAACGCGGCGACAAAGTCAATGAAGCAGACGGCCGTCGGTTGTTGGTAGCTATGGCGAAATTCGAGAATGCGCCTCAGCGTAAATATCTGGTCTGTGCATCCACGTCCAGCACGAACTCCGGTTTGGCTGGGCCTCATGAACCTACCGAGACTCTTCCCTTCATTTGTATCGGTCTAACTCTCGAAACCAATTAGCTAAGTGGTGTATGTAGATGAAGGGAAGCGCAGATGGTGACCTCCAGTACGGAGATAGAGGGAAGATCGATCTCTCGAGAGGGTAGCGTATTCGGTTTAATGAGCGTACCAATGTGATGCAGTGTTAGGGGGGACTTGGCATCCGAGCAGCGGAAATAGAAGTGAACTGCAGGGGCAGCTGAAGTTTTAAGAAGGAAGGAGAAACGGAAACAGCGGCGTCAGAAACATTAGTTAGTAGTTTCGGAGATCTGAAATGCGACTGCGAAAAAGGAAGGCAAGGAGTACTATAGTATGGAAATGGTGATAGTTGGGATTTCACAGGTGGGATAAACGAAACTGACAGTTGGTTTTGAGTAGCAGAAATAAGAAGTACATTAAAGCCATTAGCTTGTTTGAGTAGACCAAGCGCTCAGTTTGAAATACCGGAAATTAGGCGTCACAAAAGGAACGGAAAAAAATTTAAACTAGAAGCAATGATTAGATATTCCAGTCAAGTTGATCCCAGCATGTAATGACCAATCAAAATGAAGGCGAGATTTCAAATTCAGCTCTCACAATAGACAATTCAATTTAGTCTAACAACGTTTGTAGCCCAACTCTTACCTAAGTCTGTTTCTAAAACCTACCCTGGACCCTAACCTCTAATCCTAACCCTTAGATAAAACTCTAACTCATAACCCCTGACTAGGCCGAACGCCGACCACAATGGTAACACGAGGAAAGCGTGACGGAGGGATGAGCGAAAGACGAGGAGATTAAATCGGGCCTACCAAAATGACATAAGTAGGTATTTCATAAGAATAAATGCTGGGTGTGACCGCATATGCGATTCTTACCGCGTTTTGTACAACATTGACTCCGTCGCACCTGCAATATACCTGTGGTAGGACCAGGTGGCCGGATTCTAATTCCGCGTTGTCACAGGCTGGTGTTGGCGACAGTTAATCATCCGGAAATGATTGTCCCAGTTTCCCTGCCTTTTCACATGTTGTAGCCTAAGGGCTCGACGGGACGAGCTTGGCCCGTCACCCGATGGGTGAGCGGTCTTCTACCATGGCCGGTATTCCCCATCACAACCGAAATGACAACGGATCTCTTGCTCAGTGGTTGAGCGTAGGACGTCTCAACGTTTAATTACGAAAGAACCTGGGTTTTAATCCCAAATTACCCAAGAAACCTGGGATTAGGCCTGATTGGCTGGCGATAAATAACAAGTCGAAGATGGCCAGTTCTGTCCGGTCCCTGTCAGTACTCGCCTGTTCAAAGAAGTCGGGCTGTTTTCATGAGTTTTCAAGCTGGCAACATCGACCTTTCGTCTAAAAATGAATAGTAGGAGGTGAAATTATTGCACAGTAGCGTTTGGAGACAGAGGTCATATTTACAGAGAGACGTCCAAGGGAGGGGACGGACATTGTGATGCGATGGGTTTCAGCGATGGGGGGGGGGAGTTGGAGTTTTCAGTTATGGCCTGTCGCATTGGACGGGGAGATAAATTAGTGCAAACCCACACGGATACTGCTTGTAGTAAAGTACTAAGCCTCGAGAAATACTCGCGCATTTTCCGGCGTTCACTTCGGGGCAACGGTATGGAGAAGGGCCCCACTTAACTGACGGCGTACTGTGGATTGCGTCATGCGTGATCGGCGATAAGGGGAATTTTACGGTTGGGGCAGCGCATTAGACAGTAAGCTGACGAAAAGCAAGAAAACACAAAAATTGTTTGAATTTCTCCTGAAAGACTCATCGCGGTAACTAAAAATAAACAAAAAGTAAATTTCAAAAACTAAAGGAGTTTGAGTGATGAGTTGAAGTTATGGGGAGTGATTGTAATTGGCAGTGTAATGTCCGCAAAGGCCTGCGAATGGTTGCCATGATAAAAGCCCCTATGACGTGATCCACAGTCTGCCATCAGTTAAATGGTGTCCTCCTCCATACCGCCGCCCACTTCGATACCGTCCCCATTAAAATGGTGGTCACACGCAAGAGCATGCGTTAAGAAGAGAGACAAGGGATCAAGCCCGTGTTAGTTAGGACGGGTTCCAAGTCGCCTACCCTATGACCAAGGTAAACGCAAGACCAGTTAATATGCGGGATTCTGAAAATTGAAATATTTTACTACTCTTTAAGAAGAGGGAAGCCCACACTCCGCTCTTGAGAGACGCATCGACAAAAAAGTGGTAGAGCACGCTCGACCGAAATTCAGAAGCCCCAGCGACTTCAACTGTGGTCCCCACGGCCACCTACCCTGTCGCACATGCGTATGGCCCCTCCCCTAGGTTACAAAAAGCGTGTGCACTGGAGAGAATCATAGTGTCATCCATAGGATCATATCAAATGGTTGTACAGTCACCTAAGGTGCCATACTGACGGATCGCGATATGGCATCAGAAGCTCTCACTTAATCCGGGTCTTTTAAACAAGTCCTGACAAATGCATCCTGTTGTTTGACGTTGTTGTCCTGTTTTTTACATCATCATCATATGACCTGGCAATTGGAAACTTACAATCAGTTACGGATCTCATGAAATGTTAGTCAAAATTCTCAAGTTGCCTTTTCGATTTGGATGGATGCTTAAGTGGAACCCTAATGTTGGTTACTTTGCAGCATAATCCCGTGACACCCCCAGGATGCTGACTTTTAAATGCTCTCCTTTTCGGTTTTCTGGAAAACCGCACTCGATAAGAAAAAAATAACTGTTTATGTTTTACGCATTTTATGCATCGATTTCCGATGCGCTAATAAATTTAAGTTACTTTACAAAACACGCGTAGGAATATTTTTTGGCAGAAGATCGGGTCTTTAAGTTTTTAACTTGGAGGAAGAATATATTCCGATTTAAGGTAGTTTCTAATTGTCCAGTGGCCATTCCAACAACATCGTATCTGTCTGTTTAATGATGCCCTTCACCAAGTATACAACGTAGTCCAGATTCGTTGTAATAATTTATGCGTCCTATATGGTATTTTGTTAATGATATAAATAAATGTATGTTTTTCCTTACACACGATATTGGTCGATGAAATGTAAGTCGATGCGTACAGGACAATCCAATTGACACTCCAATGCAACACTTCCTAGACATTCCTGGGTTCTGCCTTAAGAATTACTGTCAGCGGAAGGGTAAGTAGTCGAAGCAGGTCAGTGAAACCGCAATTAACTCGGGGATACTTGCTGAACTAGTCTTACGACGGCCGGAGCAGAATGCTATTCAGACCCTCAGGCCAAAATGTGACTCCACTATGTTGATGACACCTTCGTTACCGAATAGGAACTGCGGAAATAAAAAATCTGCGACGCAATCCAAGTGACGTCTTCCCAGCTATAGAAGTTCCTCACAAAAAGACTGCAGTAGACTTTCTCTAGCTTCTAGATGTGAATATGCAGGGGCTGAATGATGGCAGCCTCGTGAGAAGTGTCTATAAAAAAGGCTCCATCGTCAGGATAATGCCCAAAGGCGAAGTCAACCGTCCTGCGACCCACAAAAAAGCCGCGTCTCGACTCGCCTCCGCCTGGCCTTTCCTTACTGCAGCAGCGAGGATGTGTTTAAGAGGGACTGGCTCCCTTATACCGGTCGGTGCGCTCCAACGGACATCAGATTAGCCCTGTTGGCATCGGGTTCAGAGGTCAGATAGTACCAGAAGTCGGCAATTGTGCCAGGGAAATTCTAGCCCTGCCTTACATGCAAGGAATTTCTGAAACGATTGCCTGTCAAATAAGTCGGCTCGGTGTCTGCAGCGACCACAAATCGGGGTCCTTCCTGCGCACAGCAGTATCTCCAGTAAAGGATCGCATATTATTGGCCAGAAAACCGCATATCATGGGCTAATATGGCTCCGTTTTCGCCCAGTGTACGTGCGACGCACCAATAAGAGCTATCGCTGCAGCCGAGCAAAATCGCACGGCCCCGACAATTAAGGTTATCGAACTGGGACAAACAACCTGTCCATATTATTTCTTCAAAATGAGTACTCCACAGAATGGGTACGTCGAGGCTTGAGGTTACACTATCCAACAGTATAGGCAATATGTATCAGGGTGGGCTAACTCATGAAATGTCAACCGAAATCTCAAAATGTGTTCTCGTTTTGAAAAGATTAATTAAGTAGGGTTATAAAACTAATCATCATGCAGCATAATTATATAATGATCCAGTTACCTCAGGGCGTCGGCTTTTGTTGAACTCATTTCTGCAAAAAATGACTACTGAATCAGCATGCAATTTTCTCATTGATTTTTGATGCCCTCGAAAATGAAATTGTATTTTATGGAAAACATGCATAGAGATATCCACTCTTTTACTTATTCGGTAGAAAATCGCGTCTTCTTCCGATTTTATACTCGAAAGAAGGGTATAATTCGGTTTTAAAAAACTTGTCAAATTCCCGAATAATTTTGAACCCGATCTGCTGTTACACTTGCATTCAGGGTTTCAAAAGTACAAGCCGTAAATTTTCCGTGTACGGAAAACCACGCATTTCTCTACGGTATTAAGCGGAGACTATATGGGGTTCGCAAAATTAAGCAGTGGATTTGAGCAATATTGTTAACTTTACAAGCCACATTCGTAAATGCAAATACATGACGTTTTATGAACTGCCATTTCAGGGTGTTAAAAAATCTCACAACTAGTAACTTCTTTGAAACCAAATTATGCCCTTCGTTCGAGCGTAAAACTGGAAGACGACGTGATAAAAAATGAGTATTTTTATGCATGCTTTCCATGAAAAATAGTTGACTTTTCAAGGGCATCGAAAATCACTGAGAAAATTGCATGCTACATAAGCAGTCATTTTTTGCAGAGCATCATTCTTGCATGCAGTTGGGGATAAGTTCATTCGAAAGCCGACGTCCTGGGGTAACTTGATCATTATAGAATTGTTTTGCATGATGATTGGTTTTACAACACTACTTAATTAATCTTTTCGAAACGAGAACGCATTTC